TAAAATAGATTGAAGCTGTTATCAGAAGGTTCCCAACAAAGAAAAGCCCAGGACCAGATGGATTCGCAGCAGAATTCTACCAAACATTCAAATAGGAATTGACACCAATTCTCTACAGACTATTCCAAAAGATTGAAATAGAGGCAATTCTCCCAAACTCATTCTGTGAAGCAAATGTCACCCTGATACCAAAACCAGGTAAAGATACAACAAAAAAAGAAAACTACAGGCCAATACCCTTGATGAATATAGATGCAAAAAATACTCAATAAAATACTAGCAAAGAGAATACAGCAACACATACTCAAAATTATACATCTTGATCAAGTGGGATTCATCCCAGGGATGCAAGATTGGTTCAACATATGCAAATCAATAAATGTGATACACCATGTCAATAAAATCAAACACAAGAACCATATGATCATCTCTATAGATGCTGAAAAACTATTTGATAAAACTCAACATTCGTTCATGATGAAGACTCTCTACAAGTTAGGCATAGATGGAAACTCAACATAATTAAAGCCATATATGATAAATCCACTGCCCATATCATCCTGAATGGATGGAATTAGACAAGGATGCCCAAATAGTGTTGGAAGTACTAGCCAGAGCAATCAGAGAAGAGAAGGAAATAAAGGGCATCCAAACTGGAAAAGATGAAGTCAAACTGTCCCTGTTTGCAGATGATATAATCCTATATATCAAACAGCCTAAAGCCTCTACAAAAAAACTCTTGGAGTTGATAAATGATTTCAGCAAAGTTGCAGGATACAAAATCAATACACAAAAATCAGTAGCATTTCTATTCTCCAATAGTGAACAGGCAGAAAGAGAAATCAAGAAAGCTTGCCCATTTACAATAGCCACCAAAAAAATAAAATACTTAGGAATGAGTTAGCCAAGTATGTGAAAAATCTCTATAATGAGAACTACAAACCACTGCTTAGAGAAATTAAAGAGGACACAAGAAGATGGAAAGATATCCCATGCTCTTGGATTGGAAGAATCATCATAGTGAAAATGTCCATACTCCCAAAGTGATATACAAATTTAATGCAATCCCCAACAAAATTCCAATGACATTTTCTCAGAAATGAAAAGAACTACCCAGACATTTATATGGAATAACAAAAGACCACGCATAGCCAAAGCAACGCTGAGCAAAAAAAAAAAAAAAAAAGCTGGAGGCATAACACTACCTGACTTCAAACTATACTACAAAGCTATAATAACCAAAACAGTATGGTACTGGTATAAAAACAGACATACTGATCAATGGAATAGAATAGAGAATCCAGAAATCAACCCACACACT